TTAACTCGTCTTACTTCTTTTATCACTTGTTTTTGCTGTCATTGTCTTGTTGAAGGCCGAATAAATAATAATAATAATAATAGACTGATTAGGAGAAAATTGTGAGATTAATTTCACCTTGACTGCAGAAAGTTTGAGGACTGTTATCTCAGTGTTAAGTACATGTTAAGGCTTAGGCACTTAAGTGAGGTTTTGTTAGTGCATTTAGTAAACAATTGAAGTAAACTTTTTCATCAAAATGAAGAAACTGTTACTCCCCAAATGTTAACAATCCAATTGCTTTCTAATCACATTTCTAAAAAGATCATAAAATCATATTCTAAAAATGTTGTCTTTGGTAGTAATATTACACTCGTTTTGTATACAACATCTTTATCTGCTACCAAATGACAGGGTCTATGCAATGCAATTCTTTTACTACATGTACAATCTTCTAAAATAAACCTTTGTATTTCTAAAAGGTAGTTTGGCTGGTTTTTAATTGATTTCTATATTGATGCAAATTTCCACAGATGTAAGTAAAACTGTGATGTCATTCCAGGGAAAAAACCTAAATGATGTACTACTTTGTGCACAAAACAACTGTAGGAAGTTTTGATGTATTTCTGTTCTAGATACATGTATGTCCCTTTTCAATACACCTGATCCCAAAAGGATGTCAATTTACTTTCATACACTAGCGCATATTTTAAATTGCATAAAAAGTGTGTCTAGGAAAACTCCATCACTTGGACATTTTAATGCAACCATGGTTCACCACATGTGTCATTTGCCTCCATCCCCAGGTCAGCAAACCAACACAGACATAACTGTAGAAACAATGTATAATGCAGCAGGCCCGTTGCCTGACCAGAGACTGAGGGGGTTCGTCAAATCAAAAAGTGGAACTTTTGGTGCTGTGAACACATATTTTTATACAAAGGCCTATCACAATGTGCTTTGGAAAACAACACTGAAAAGTTGCATGTCTGTCACGAACCAAAGGTTGCATGTAAGACTTGTACACTGTAGTTTCAATATTGAATAAACAAAAATACATTGATATCAAACCCTTTGAAACACCAGGAATGTGGATATTCGCCCAAACCTCCTGATGGTATATATTACTGGAGATTGACTTATTAATATGCAGAATCGTGGTCACCTTGAGCTTGATAATCAACGTATAAGCCGTGGCTTGTATGCTGAACATTAAGGTGCCAAATATTACGGTATATTTAAAATATTCAGTACAAAAAAAAGGACCAACAAGTGGAACTCAAAAGCGACCGGGGGGTTCATTCGAACCCCCCCCCAGCCTACGGGCCTATGCAGTATCAGCTTACCACATCCATCCCGGCTTCGTGCATTGACAGCAGGTCACCCATGTAAGAGTGCAGTTTCCTCTCCTTGGCTGTCTTCATCTTAGCCATGCAGTATGTATAACGCTCCTTCCACTCCTCCAGTTCCTCTCGACTATGGGCCTTTGTGCAACTGTTGTCCTCACCGATAGAACTACCAGACAAGCATGTGCCTCCTCCGACCCTAAAACAGATTACACCGAAATTGTTCCATTAACTTGAGCAAGTTTGTTACTTAACAAACAACCACTGTACTCTAATATTTGGGTAGCTCAGAAAAGTATTTTGTCTGACATTGACCAAGATGTGCTCCAGATGGATTTTGACAAAAAGTGGAGAGAGAGAGAAAGGAAGAGGGAAGCATGGGAGGGGGGGTCATTCTTTTTGTCATCATTTTTACAATCATTCCCCTCCACTCCATCCATTCCCCTCTCACCGTTTTTTGTACACTTGTGAAAATAACCAAAGAAAAATGGACGTCCCCCTAACACTGGTCTGCAAATTATTCGTCAAGTTGAAATCAACACTTACACTTCACACAATTTGTAATTCCCACTCTCCAAATTCCAGGGGGGTTCCCGATGTTTCCATTCCCTCTCCGCATCTGAATCAACCCTCGACAGGTGGCCAAGAGTCTGCAAGTGATCCTTCAGCTGTGCAATACGCTCAAAGTGCTTGTCGCAGTAGGTGCAGCAGAAAGGCTGGATCCTGACTGGCTCCGGAGCAGACGCCCCCGTGCCATTTGCCACTTGTCTGCTGTCGGCTATCGCTGCGATTGAAATGACCTCGTCCAGAGTCCTCACTGCATGTCCATAAAAGGACAAAAAAGACATAAAAAGGACATTTTACAATGTAAACTGGCTATACTAATATGGATATCAATTCTTCATAAAAACTACTCTTATAAGAAAGCTGTGTTTTATCATGTTACTTTTCCGCACAAATACATGTATGTCAGCTCCAAACTTACAATTAAATTTTGCCATGTAAGTCCACAATTCGGCTTCTTCTGGGATATGTGGATATGTGCAGTAATACTTCCGACAGTGATCTCCATATCTGCATAAAACAGGCGCCTTCCCTGGCTTGAATTTAGGATGGCGCTCTCGAACAAGATGCCATTCTTTTCTGCTGTCCGAGTACAACACAACCTGATGTGACGTTACACCTGGCACGTCTTCAACATACATCAGTCTGTAAGGCAGTCTTGGGATAAATGTGTATTCACAGAATTGCACAATATCCTTTTGATGGACAGGGCACTGCCATACCTCAGTCTCAACCTGGAATTTCCAAAAACACATGGATCTCCTTCAGTATTGGGAGCAAGATATTTCTTTGGAAGACGAGGAAGAGCCTACATCAACATGCATCAAAGTTCTTGGAAAAAAGTTTGATGTAATTTTCCAAATAATTCCATTGAGGTGTTGTCAGAGCAAGAGATTTAATATTTGAAGCAGTTCAAAATGAAGTACTGAGATGCAGTCCTGAAAAGTAAGATTCCTAATTCTGCCTGAATCTACAGAAGATTAAATTTTGAGCGGGAACAAGGGAAAGACACCCAGAAGAGAAAATTGAATCCACAAGTTACATATTTTTGGTAGGGGCTGAAAAAGACTTTTATGATCATTTTCTGTCTCAATGGATCAGATGAGGCAAAGAAACATTACCAACGAAAAGGAAATAATTCCTTAGTTTGTCATTACCTTGTTGTGGGCAAATTGGCATGCGTCCCCCCGCCGGCATCCAAAGCGTTTTTCAATGTGGCGGCAAAGGCTGGCCTTGTAGCGTGCTCCTTTCCTTATTTTCAAGTACTGATGTTTACCATCTTTCTGGAGCACATGCACCAACACTTTGCTCCAGGGGTGTTGCTCTTTGCTGGTGCCATGACGACCGTCTGCTGAACTTTTGCTCATAACTGGTGGGGAGCTATCGAAACACGTCTCGCAGAGATACACAAAGTTGCCCCCAACTTTGGCCATCAACTTGCTGTATTCATCTCTGCTCTCTGCAGCGCTGAGAATTATTGGTGTTGAGTTCTTTCTTTGCACTGGCCGGCTGACAGTTTTTTGAGGAATACTGTTGCAAGCAGCCCCTTCGGTGGATGTTTCAGAGGTAGTCCGTTTTGTGGATCGTCTTGAGACTACTTGGAAACCGTCGGGTGTGTCAGAAGATGGTGGTGGTGGTAGCTTTGGAAGATTCTGTTGAAGATTCTGTTCCCTGCATAGGAACTCTGAAATTTCCTGTCTATCAAACTGTCCCTTTTGTTCTGCACTCCATATGTATTTTTCTTCTTCACTGTGACAGTACCAGCAATCTTTTCCCCAACAATGGCTTGTCGTCCGGCTGTTCTTGCATAGCTGGTACTGGCCTTTAAAGTCTGGTCTAGTTCGATGACGGATGACACCCCAAACCTGCACAAATTTACATTTTATAGCAGATCTTACCATTGACCCTTATCATCATTCACATGAGTATGACTGTAGTTGAGCCCACCATACATGTGAGTCTGAACAAGTCCCTGCAAGTCCATCACAAATCATCAAGTCTAATAAAGCCTGAGCATTAGCCTCTCACAATAGAACGGCACTGAAAGCAAGCATGCTTGTGTCCTCATGCAAAAAGACGAAGCGTGGTTTGCAGAAATGACTCATAATTAAAGTCTTGTATTCTTTTTTCACTCATTGTCAGTGAGTTGGTGGAGGTCCTTTTGGATTGGCCCTTCAAACAAATTCTCTGCATTTTGAGTTACGGAGGTATTTTTGTACATAAAAGCCTATTCTTTTGGCGGGAATGAAGAATGTGTTCGAGATAAGCGGAGTCTTGAGTTAACCTACTATGAATTTTGAGAGTTTACTGTACACATGTAAACAATATGTGATGGCTAATCGACCTATTATGGGTCATGACCTATTATTTGAACCACAAACTGAGTCACATCTTGCCAAAATAGCCTTTAAGTGAAAGGCCTTTACAAGAATCTTTCGTCATGTATTCAATGGGAGTCCTCAAATTATTCCCCATGTATTGTCCATTTTCATTATCATGTCAAAACGGGTGATATATCAAAACAAAGAAATCAATTTGCTCTTCCCTGTGCAAATTAAACTTGAAATACCAAAATATGGCCAAAAGCCTCACTTTGTGGAATCCAGTTGCGCTTTTAAATTATTCATCACGAACCTACCTTATGCCCATTTTCTGACTGTGATTTAAGATGACACAAAAGCAAATTTCCACGGCACTGATGTTTACACGCTGATTTACACTTCTTTCCATCATAGCATTCCCTGCAAGCCAACCTACACATAATTTCAAACCAAGAATGCTCTGTATGTTATTTGAATATTTTTGGGGTACATAAAATGTTCTTCCACAGGTAAATACAAAACTATGATATTAGGAGCCAAAACATGGAAAATTTTTAATGTAACCTTTATGCAATGTTTTATGGCCTTTCTGAGAGGTCGGACTACATTAGGGGGCTTTTTACATGCTTTTGGAAGAAAAGTAAAAGAGAGTGAGAAGTTTCAGTCTCACTGTCCTCCCCCAAAATTGTGCCTATTGCCCTTCCCCCGGATCCACCAGTGTTTCCTTCGTGTACAAAAAAATATCTTGCTGCATGAGCCTTAACCAGTCCATTTTGAAAGATCTGGTTATCTGTACATATGATCTGGCCCTCTTTGTATAAATAGAAAGATGCATGACTGACATATTAAATTGCTAGTTGCTTGCCCCAGGCCACTGCTGCCAGTTGTGAAAACACACTTGCCCCCCATTTGTTTTGTACACACGCAAAGTCTGAGAAGTTTCAGTATTGACTTGAATTTGACCACAGTATTCAGCATAATGTAGCAAGCACAACATTCTGGTGGCAACTAACAGGACGGCAAAATATGATCTTTTATGATTTAGCAGGGACCAATGGGGCCAGGTCTCAATATGGGAAAGCTCTTCTTTTTGGAAAAAAAAATAAAAGAAAAGCAATTTTGGGGGACTGCATTTTTCCTTCCAAATGCAAGTAAAAAGCCTTGGCACTCATCAAAACAGCCAGAAAAGATTATACAAATTCCCACTTTTTTGCCTCCCCCACCTGAACCCCCCCCCAAATAAATGGTTCCTGATCTGGTCTTGTAAAAATAGGCAATTCACAATAGTGCGCCTCCAGGAGAATGCAACATGTTGACCAATCACGATGTGCGAAATCTGTCGACCCAATGCGCGTTTGGAAAGGGTCAAAAGATTTTGCGTGTCGTGATTGGCCAATGTGTTGCAAACTCTTGGAGGCGTACTGTTATGAATCGATGTCAATGGTGCCTCAAGCATGACATACTGAACCTACAGGAATTATGAAAAGTTTTATATAGTACATTATCTGCACACAATCTGTGGCATGAATATGCAAACCAAGTACCAGTGTACACTTAATGGTATTCCGTTGCTACATAAAAAGCAAATCTCTTGTTAAATACACGTTCCATAACTTACAGTATCCAAATAACGAATGCCTGTAAATGCAATGGTATACGACAATTTCATTAGGTAACCAGACTGAATGTTCCAAGAGAAACATTCAACCTGTCACCTAATGAAATCATTCTTTTTACTGCATGAACGTGAAACCTTCCATAACTTGTTTAATATGACAAATTAATATTTTCCTGGTGCACAAGTCATTTTGTACAGTATATCAATGCTAAATAAATCCCATTCATTATTGTGACCAATGCTGTGCAAATCATTAAGGGAATCAACTGGGCCCAATTTCATGGTGCTGCTGAGCACTTAAGCTTACGAGCACAGGATTTTACACTGGCAGAGGTTCCGCATATTCCATGGAGGCTGTAAGCCGGAACCACAGCAAAAGACATGCTAACCTCAGAGGAAATAAGCCATTTGTGAATTAAATTTGAATAAAATCTGGTACACCAAGTTCTTTAAATTAATGTGAACATAACAACTTGAATTCTCCATACTAAAACCACTGTTGCTATACCTCGTGATTCAGGGCAAGCTTTTGCTTAGTTACATGAGAGACGCCTTGCAACAATGCACTATTCTCAATGGATACGAATGGCACAAAGGAGCCAGTCCATTCCAGAGATGGTGGTCGCTATGCAAAAGCTTGCCCCGAATCACGGGGTATAGCAACAGTGTCTTTAGTCTGGAGAATTCAAATTGTTTCGTTTCTATGCAATCAGATAACACAGTGTACCAAATTTTATTCAAATTTAACTTGCAAGTGGCTTATTCAGCTCGTCTTAGTGATGACGTAACAATGAAAATCTTTGTGCGCACAAGCGTTCGCACAACCGTGCCAAGCACCACCAGTTCATAGTGCTTACAGTAAATAGAAAAATGTTATGCTATAGTAAGCACAGCTTTTTTGCTAACTGTTAAGAAGGGCCGTGCAGTTGGGCCCAAATGCTTATATGTACCTTAAGTGGAATTTTTCCAAGAACTGATGACTCTGTGGAGACAATTTTGGAGCTCTGGATGAGGTTGTGGATTGGCTGCTGGTTTTGCTGGGCTTCTTCCTTTGTCCAGTTTTGTAAGGATACGACTGTGACCGTAGCGGCTGGGGAATGGATGGTCTCGATGATGGCTCCTCGTCCCCAGATGACATTTCATCATGCAAGACTGTGTACTGATTGTCCACTGCCACCATTGGCTGAGCTACGAATGAAAAACATACCGGAGTCACTCATGATACATACATGTACGCCTCAATACAGCTACTTTTTAGGCTAACGCACGGTCTATCTAGCAAGCAAATATCCTTTAGTTCCTCTACTCTCCACCTGCAGTAAAATACACGTATCACTTTTTTACACTCAGAAGTTCAAACTGGAATCTCATCCATCCACGGACATTGCAAGGAAACACTGTTGTCATCGAGTACTTTTCAATTACCAACTTCTCTGCCAAACATTTAACTTGTTAAGAGGAAACAAAGCTAGAGAACATGAGTATTTGATGTTAAATGTACATAGGTAAGATTACGAAATAAATTTACAACTTCAGACACTCCCAATTTTGTAAAACATAATTTCAAGGAGAAAAGTACTTAAAAAGTACTCAGTCAAGTATTTTTTGTCATAGAAACTGAATTTTTATGAAACAATGATGGTTTGAAGTCTTTTTACTTTGTAATCTTACCTCTGTGCATCTACCCTCAAATGTCCCTATACTCTAGCTTTAATTATTCCCTCTTAACCCAGTTAAATGTTTGGCAGAGAACTTGGACATCGAAAAGTACTTGACGACAACATTGCAAAGAAGGGACAAAAGCTTTTGGGGTAGAGAGAGCATTCATTTGCTGCAAACAGACAAAGCAACAAAAAAAAACCAAGTTTCGAACCATTTCAAGCAAATTTTTGATGTTCATTCCTTCTAGCTTTTTATTTCTCTCCCTTTTTCCTAATTTTTTCTTTAGGGGAAAGGTGGAAGTACCCTTATCCCCCCTCAAAGCCTGTAAGACATTCTGCGCAAAAATTTGAAAAATGCCAATTCCCTCAACAACGTTCAGTGTGTGGATCTCAACTGTTTCCCCATTTAATGCACCTCAAGGAATTGGCATGAGGCATCATTACGGGATGAAAGCACCTGACGTCAGGCCAATTAACATGTGCGAGTGGGTGCAGAGCCCTCCCAACACTCACTGGTCATCCTCCACATCCCACCAACTGGACTTCACAAACTGATGTTACTGGTTGTTGGTGGATACATTACCCATCCACAGGTGATACATGTACATGTACATTAGCGACTGGTAATACATTATCAGTCAATCTCTGAGACATTATGGGTTGGTGACATATTATTAAGAATTACTTCTACCCAGAACATACACAGGGCAAGTAATGGTGCAAATGGTGAAACTGGTTAGTATGTCCCCAAGTAGTTAGCGGTGCTGATGCCGCAGGTATTGTGCTGTACCCAAACTTTAATTTTGTATATTTTTGCACTCCATAGTTAGGTGCTATTCCCAGGCGCGCTATATCTAGGTGGCAGTGCGCTTTGGGCATGCGTGGTACGTTGCTTAGTTTAACTGTTTGACATGTACGGACAGTTTTTGTGTTCACGGTCTCCAACTTTGTGTCTGAGAGGCCTAAAATTATAGTGCTTTTAGAAGCTATAACTTGAGGGTTAAGCATCCATATATTTTTATGTAAGTTAAGCTCCATTAGTGTGTTGTTAACTTGATTATGAAGGTTTCACTTCATTGTGATTTGGGGGTTTATTTTGTCCGTCTCAGTTTAGTAATGTATAAGATTATGTCAATCTACATGTACACGTTAGTTTACATGCACCATAAATCCAGAGTTGGATTCACGTATTTTGAAACTGATAGTTGCCATTATGACTGTCATCCGTTACAGAGACATTGTGCTGGGTGAGCCCGGTGTTTGTTAAACCCTTTTAAGAACATCTGTGACAGTTCTTTACATGAGATTCTGATTGTGTCAGAGGAAGCTTGGAAGCCCACAAGTCTGTAAGTTTATTATTATTATTTTCATGTACATGTACATGTGGGCGACTAAATGCACACCATACGATCCCTTTATCACTTTGGAGGTAATGTGTAGTGTATACAAATCAATCTTGGGACTTTATAGAGGATTACTGTAATGGTATACATCTGGATGTACACAACATTATCATTTCCCTTTGACAGAGTCATTTCACTAGTGTGTTTTTGGCATGTGAGGAGGAAACTGGTGACATTTTGATTTAGGGTTGTTTAATTGTTTGATGACATAATCAAGAAGTTTTGTACGTTTATTGGGGTTGGTTTTCACAATTTTTTTCATAAATATGGAGGACTGACCTTATGTTTGTAATCTTTTGTTGTAACAGTTTTACCCACAAACAAACTTCAAGGCACATAGTACCAGTTCATGGAAGTTCATGGAATAAAGACATTCTTCGAACTAAACTCTGTGATCTACTATTGCTTGAATTTTGGGGTTAGCTACTGGACAGGAGCCAGCGCGGTCAGTGCACACTCTGAGGCCAGTACAGGTATTATATGAGGACTGAAGAGTTTGGAAATCAGAATTATTTGTGGACATTGAAACAGATCATTTGTTTCATTTCTTGCAAATCCTGATATTTTTAAAGAAATACTGTTCATGCATTTATATTTACACAGTACGATTGAGTTTAATCCAAATTAAAACAACTTTTTGATGCAACACAATTTGAGGACACTTTTAGTGTTGCATTGGCAACATCAGTGGGAAACAACCAACTACTGCAAGTGCTAGCGGGCAGCTCTTTACACATTTGAACATCTGATGGCCTGCACAAGGTGATAATGCCCTAAAAAGCTTTCACTCTGGCCTGAACATTTCCTATCAACTGAAAAATCAACATAAAAGCCATTCCACGGGAATAACATCCATGACCTTCACCACCACTTTCACTACATTATCAGCATTTTCATAATCACCCTAGCTCATGAAGCACTCCTGCACTGAGTTTACAGTAACAAATTTAAACGGCTTGAAATGATTTGGAGAAATTACTGCTTACAGCTTTGGCAGTGTAAAGGTTGGTTAACCGTTGAGTAAGCCTGATCCGCCTGTGAAACAGGAACGAATGAGAAAGACTGAGTGATAGAAAAGGGCCCAAAAATCTGACATTGTATTTTGCTTAAGGAAACTGTTCCTCCTCACACAAATTAATCAATGAAGGAAGGATTTCCAACCCAGACAAAGAGGTATTTTACACTTATACTCATTTGTATGAGCCAGCTCCAGCCATGAATCGGCACTTTTTTCTTGCGTCTGGTCAATTGAAACATTCAGGTTTTTCATTAGGCATAGGCTAGCATAATATTTCTGTTTTGCCAAAAAATGGTGCCAATATACAAGAGTCATTCTACACACCCATTAAGGTTTAGCATATGAAAGACCATATATGGCAGTGGTATTAAGAAAAAGTACACAATTGCTTAAGCAGAAGAAAAGTAGATTCTGGGGGCACCGAGGGGCAGAGAAAGCAAATAAAAATCCAGTTTGTTGACAATTTTTGGCTCATTCCAAGATTCAAAGCAGCAAAATCTCAAGTTCCAGTGTGGTTATCGCCTGCATCTGTTTTTTAGGGGGAGGGGGTGTCAGGCTAGTGCTTTCAGCTTCATTCTTCTTTTTTAATTCTGCTTTTGTTTTTCTTTTCTCTGTTCCCTATTTCTTATTTTTCAAATTTTACCTGTTAGTGAGTGGTTAGTGGAAGGGCAGAGGCAGGGTGGGCGGGTGTTGGGTCTGTGGATGGCTAGGTAGGAGGGGAGGGGATATTGCCGAACATATGCCTCTCATTCTCTTTCCCCCAATAATTATGTCATCGAATGTATAGCACACCCCAATTAAGAAGTTCAGGAACTTCATATACATTATTCAGGGAAGTACCCTGCTCAATGTGGTTAAGTCGTTCTGGTGTTTCACGTATGTGATGTGTCACAACAAAATGAGAGTAAAGTCGCATCTCGCCCTTTTTGTTTTGAGGGTTTAAAGTCATGTTGAAGTGAAGTTTAGTTTTCAGGTTTTGTAATATTTGGAAAGAATAACCCGTCTCCTATTAATTCCAAATAATCTACAGGATCATATATTGAAGGGCATTTTCTCAGCAATTTTGACAAGAGCATTATTCGTGCCTGGCCTGATATAGTGAAAATATGCCGAGAACAAAGACACAAAGCTGCCAGAATAATGTCACATTGCCACCTGATACTTTTACCCTAAGTATTCAATGTATAAACCCCTGGAAAGCTTTTTTTCTACTTAATTCAAAAATACTAACATCTCAATTTCTCAAATTCTGACTTTCAGCTCATTTTGTGGTGAAAGGTCACATATGTGCAACAGTTTGAATGTGGATTCCAACCGCCCAGGTGCAATGGTGTTTGTGCTCAAGCATGGATGGGGGGGTCTTGATCAGGACTTGCCTGTGCGTATTTCCTGTTAACCCTATCACTTTTCATCAGGCACAATATCAAATTTTTCAATTCACACCACTAAAGTGGCTATGTGAGGGATTTCACATCCAAATAATAGGTTGCAAGCTCGAAAGATTTTGCATTTTTTGAGAGATTTCAACTCGTGACATTTGCGTCGAATCGAGCAGCAAGTGCCCAAGCTTACCAACGGAACTACACTAACCTGTGTCAACGAAGGATCCCTCTCATCTGGTGAGCTCGCCTCCCTGGAAGACTGATCATTGTTAGATTCTCCACTTTCTGTCTGTGCCGACTGCAAGTCCTCAGTGGTCAAGGTCAAGTCTGGTTCCTTGTCTGTAATCTGACGATTCCCCATCTCCCCTGACATCTTTGAAATTGGGCAATTGTACGCGGTGTATTTGTACAGGAGTTGGAAGGGGGAGGGGCATGCAAAGCACAAAACGTATTTTCTACATAACGACAAAAAGAACGAAACAAAACAAAGTTACATGGACAAAGCTCCACTTGGGGGTGGAACACTGAAACAATCGGTGTCACAAGTAATTCCACCTTGCAAAGGTCTGCACAAGGAAGCGGCACTTGTGTGTGGGGGGAGGCTAGGAGGCCAGTGGTGTCCCACTTTTTGACAGGGGCCATGGTCCCACTTTTTGCAAGTCTTACAATGGGGTGAGGCTTGATGGATCAGTCTTTAATGGCTGATGTCTGATGTTCTCACAACTGGGCCCCCCACTTTAAAAATCATTCCCCTAGCCAGTGCAAAGATTGGCTGTCCAGTGTTATGTCGTGAAAAGCAGGCTCTTTGTATGAAACCGAGCCCTTTTCTGAGTTTTCACTGGGACTCACTCCGTGGTTGGTGAGGCTGACTTTGCCCCGGCTTCAACCGATGGTCATAACTGATGTCAAACATGATCAAGACAAAATTTGTACGGGGGCAGCCGTAGACATTTGTGACTTTTGATTTTTGAGTAACAGGTTCTTGGGGGTTCAGACAGATCTGATGGGTCTAAGATGGTGCCCCAGCACATCGCCTTATCACTGTGCAGTAGAACTCTTTGGAGAACAAGTCATCACCATGCAGTAGAATGGCCATCGAGATCACCCAATCACACACCGAATTGAAGATGTTTATTTACGGGTGAGGACATCAAGGTATTGGCAATGCCTTCCCATGATCTGGATGATTTGCAGGACCAATTTTCAACACGGGTGGATGCTTTATACAAGCAACTGGTTATTGTTAGACAAGCAGAGTTAGGGACATGCTCCATTGCTGCCAGATTTGTATCAAAAGGGGAGGTGGACATTTTCAAGGTGTGGGTGCATAAAAGGACAAGGTTAGAAGATATCCCTCCAGTAATTCCTGACGAAAATCTTCTTGATCATACTACCTTTCACCAATAATCCTGTCTTCCATCGATCACCAATGGACTTTCATACGAAAAATAGTTTTCCCAAACCGTACATTTTCCGATATACAGCGCCTTGAAAAAGCCGGCCATTTGTGGAGTTAGTGACACCTTCAACTGGAAATTGGAAATACCTTTTTTTGGATATCCAATGTACAGTAGGTACCTGTGCAATGTAACTCTTAAAGTGACTCGACTTTTATCTCATTCAATTTCAAAGCAACTGGATTCAGAAACAACAGTGGAGGGTACACAGTTTCATTCGTGATGACAAGAGTCAAGTTGTGCGTCGATGGTGCAAAACAAAATATCGGTACATGATATAGTTCACCTACATCCTCCACTTACCTGAAGTGCTAATCGACCATCGACGGAAGACTTCATTTAAGATCTTTTCCGCTGAAAAATACCCAGTTTTGATTTAAATGGCCCGACGTGAAAATTTAAATGCCTCGACGCGTAGCTAGCGAAACTTAATAACCAGATCACACGTATACATTAATGTTAAGTGCGCAAAACCACCGCTAGTGCTGGAATTCCCCGTAACGTAACCAATATGCATTGCGTGCGAGGGGAATTCCCAAGTTAGACTGATGTCGCAATAACAAAAATACCCGATACTCGCTACGTCATTTTGCCTACTGACAGGCGAATATCATAATTATGCATGAAAGAACATTTTAGTAATGCGGTGAGAAATTAGTTCATTCTGAGGAAAAACGTGAAAAATAGGGCTGTAGCATATCCGTGGTGAAAAATGGACAGTCTTTTTACCTGTTTTCTAACCTATATAGGTTCGTCAAATTTTAGAAATTAAGCTGGGTTGCGCAAGTGCACGGAGGGTAAATCCCACTGTAATAAGACTCTAAGGGGGATTCCCCGCTATGAAAGGATTTCGCAATCGTGGTAGAATCCCCATATGCGACGTAATGTGAGTTGTTGTGATGTAGGTTAAATCATAGAACGATGTTTACATGTAGGAAGCGTAAAAATTAAACAATGACCTGAAGGTCAATGAATTTTTAAAAGACGTAACAAGACCGGGCAAAGGCATTTCAGGAAGAGCACCATGTCCGTGGAGGCAGAATATTGAGAAACATCGAAGGCGCGCGCGTTTCCGCGCACATCTATGTAAATTAAACGCTGACTGTCAATGAAATCAAGTGACCAAAAAATTCTCCGAGTAACGAGAATTCGACAATGGGCGTAAATCCGGGGTTGGGGGTATATGTCTCCCATTATTGAGGTGCGGGATGGGCTATTGAATCACCCCCCCCACACTTTTTGTGATGAACAAAACAATTAAAGCAGATTGTGAAAAATATACAGGATTTCCCAACGACTTAAATGTTTGCAATACCACTAAAAAGGGGGAGCAATTTAAAAAAGCAATAGGCCTAATTATGCCATTGTGATGGAGGATTCTGCCTAAATTTGATTCATATTACAGATGTACATCTTTATCGTGAACATCGCCCCCACCGGTATATAGTGTATATGGTGTCCCCCCCCCCATTATCAAATTTCCATGGCCGGGCAAGTCACCCCCCACCTTTCCCCATCACACCCCCCCAATTTCCAACACAGATTTACGCCACGGATAGTATTGGACTTCGATTAGCTAGGTAGTTAAATGGGATGGAGGCTCGAGGAAAGATGTGAGTAAAGTTCCAATAACTTTGTTTTGTGTTCTTTGAACAGTGAACAGTTTTGAGTTGCCTCAGATTTCTCCCATGACCGTTGGCGGCTCTTCGCGGTGTCGTGTGGGTGCAAAGGCACCCACTGAAAAGCTGCTTGCACCCACATTTGCACCCACAAATATTTGTCACATCAGTACAGGGCGATCAACCTTTTCGTTTTACGACTCCGCATCATATGCATAACTCAAGAAAAATGAAGGATCCGACGTTTGCATCCACGCGATTTTGCCTTGCCTCACACTTGCAGCCACAGCAACCGAGGTCTGGCGCCGCCACGGCTAATGACTGTGCTACATTCATTCGGAATGAGGTCCCACCCACCACTGGAGGATAGGGGCAGTAGGGCAACCTACTTCCCCCACCCTTCTGGGAAGATACATGCTGCAACTTTGTTAAGGATTTAAAAAGTGAATGTTCAGCACTGTTATTTCACAGTTTCAGGTGCTATTAGAAATTCGGACTATATTCGAATTACATTGGTTATTGAGAAAGTATCAGACATAAGAATTGTCACTCCCGTAAATATTATTGAGACAATTTCTAGGCAAGGGTGGATCCAGAATTACATCTTTTACGAGGGGGAGAGGGAAATTTCTGTATGTAATCCTTTGTTCATGAGTGAAACTAAACAGACTGGACTTTGCACACATTTTGGGGCATACAAAGTAGTCCAACTGGCCTCTCTTTCATTCTCTTTGTGAGGCAGGAGGGATATGTGGTACTGTTGGCCCCTTTATTTATCCACCAATGGATTTAGTCGATATGAAAACAAGAGACACTTCCTTAATTTAAAAGTCGTACATTCTTGGAACCTGAAAATCCATGTCATTTAAGTACACTTTTTTTCGGAGACTGGAGAAGCTAGTGCCATATAAGTTTATAATATACCGGTAGCGAAGATCGTTAGATCACCAAGCGACAAAACCAAAAAATGTGATATCCAGGTATTCAGAGCCACATTTGCCATGTTGTGCCAGAATTTATTTTCAGTTACTTGATCAGCTATAATAATAAATTTGATAAGTATAATTACAACTGATAAACTTGATCTTATATTTTATTGAACTAATTAAGAGGAAGCGTGGTCAAGCACGGTAATAAAACTGGACTGGCAGAGCTGAATGACCAGCCGTTCCAACTACTACTAGTAAGTGACCCTTATTTGATGACGTATGGTAGCTTAATTTTTGAATTCAAGTTACCGAATGCCAACTAGCTTTCTGAAGATTTTGGAATGTGTATAGAATACGCAACTTGACATAATTCAGATGTAAACTGATGCTACAGTACTGCCACAATTCTCATTTTCGTCTAGCTTTTGACAGACGGCATGTCAGTGCCAAAATCATTCCAGTAAAGCATTGTAGCGTCCTCTGTTGTCCACTGGCGTTAAAGCTGTAATGATTGGTAAGTTGACGCATGACATCATTCTTTGACATTGCATGTGGAAACTACAGAAGCATAGCTAGGCCTTGCTGAATCGCCTGGGCAGATTACTATTTCGCCCGGGCGAATAAGTACAGTCATTTTGTTTCAGTCTTGTCCTGAATAATGCTTCCATATGAAATGGACCGTGGGGGAAGTTTATTTAACCTTCTCCTTACGTCTTCTTGTTAAACCTGACGGGGATTTTGAGGAACGTGTAAAAATTTGGAAGTCTTCGTACGAACTTCAAGTTCAGGCTCTTGTAAGAACTTTCAATGTTTAGCCCATTCATGGAGTTTTGACAAGAAGTTTACACAGAATCACAGCTGTGGGGAAACAATTTAAGGCTCGCACAGGCTTGAACTCTCGCCTTTATTAATATGCATGACATAACATGTTCAATATCTCCAAAACGACAACAAGCGTTGGAAGCTTTTTCATTTAGGCCCAGTCCTTTCACTTACTGTTCAGCTATGAAAATGACACGGTACGTGAAATAAGCGAGAAGCGGAAGTGGGCAATATAGATTTCAGTATAAGGGCCCATAAACAAATAAAAGGGTACGTACACGGTAGGATGGTATCGTTTTTGCGAATCACAGTTGTATTTTGTGACGTACAAAAGGACTTGTGTCCCATTTGGGAACTGGAGTGACCGGATTACTCACCATCCATTACAGTAACAAATGCTGAATGATTTAACCGTAAGGGCAAAAAAGTCTCCGGTTTCTGGTGAGTGTGCTGCCAAACGTGCTTCAGATGTCCACCTGACAGTAATTTATACTATCATATAATGACACCGTAGCAACAGCTGCGGCTATACGCCCAAGCCTTTGTACTTGCCACCTGAGAGGCCCTTATGGCCTGGTAGGAATAACCAAGAAATCGCATAAATTGTTGGGACTACTGGTAGGCCTACTGTTTGAATGACCTGTACTGATTACCTACATTTTGGCCCGTGTAACTTTCACTACATTTTCCACTTAAACGGCCAATTTGAAGCAGTTACATTTGTTTTTGTCTGACACTTAAGTAGCCTGTACCCTTGTGAAAACAAAACTTCATTCACATCAAGTCAGAGGTTGAAAATCAAACAGGTATTCTCTTTTGTGGTGCTGAAAGAAGCTTTGGATATCGGATTTCTCGTGCCAGATGTAAATAAACTGTGAATATCTGCAGTTGAGTGGTGTTTGGAAGTGAAATCACACTCTTACAAACACTACTGAAAATGGGATTTGGCGTAGCTGTATTTCTCGCCACCTTGGAATGTTTTAGCGCAGGCTTCAATAAAACAACTGACTTGCTATCAGAGAGGGGTGCACAGTTCACTTGAGGATCCTAATTTTCTTATTCTCCTTACATCAGCGTGACAAACGACCTACTCATACCAGCAGGTTCAGTTGTTTGATTTTTTTTCAAGGCAAAACGAATGCCTAAATGTTGAATGGTTCAGACAAGACTCTTTACAATCCCAGGTGCTTCAATGCAAACATCTTTTTGCACTGGAGGGTATAAACGATTACTCCCTTTGTTAGGTTGCAAGGCATTTTTTATATCTAAGTACGCAAGTCACAGTTTGTTGATCTTACAGCAAGAAGTTAATCTTATGATTTTTGCAATCTATACGATCTATTTGTTCTTACGATAGGAAGTCTTTCCGCTATTTTTTTCGATTAAGGCTTTCGATCTTTTCTCGCCGGTTGTTTTAATGTTTGCTTTAAGGCTTTTGGGGCTTCAGCACCTTGGCAGGCTCTACATCCGGCAGCATCATGGTGTTGAAGATTGACACCAGCTTCATGACGTCCTTGTGATCATCAGAGACGGAGCGCACGGAGCGTCTAGCTCTGGTCGACTTTTTCTGTACAAAGAAAAATATCGTTATATGTCAATCCGCCTTGAAAAAAGCCGAATGGCGAGTGCTCATTTCATTGGTAGCGATGCCACGTCAAGGCATACATTTCATAGTTGTTCGTGAACCAGCGAGGTGCAGTTCCCACTTAAGACGCCTCCGTTACAAGGAAAATTGCGCCCCCTCTCGGTCCTGGTCGGGGCTGATAGACCGATCCAGTAAGCCCGCGTACAGTGCATGTGGGCAATGAACACGTGCTTCTCTCCGATGCCACACTGTCTGGTGCAGCCGCAGGCGTCACGCGCGTACATGTTGGAAACAAGTCACAGCTCTGCTTGATCAAGTGACTGGAAAAGGTTTTAAAGGATCGATACACGGGTATTTACGAATGAATACATTATCAAATACAAAAATATTGACTGCTTTGAGTGGTTAGCCTCCCAAGGCAATCCATGGAGTAGGCCTATTTTATTTTCTTGAGGCGAAACCAAGGCAAAATTGGAATGCCCGCGCATGACACAAGACGAAACTACCAATATTTTTTGAAACATCTCTTTCACAGATTGATTTAACTAATAACTGATTAATTTGTTTTAACTTTATATGAAAATAGGGGGGGGGTCTGTTTGAATAAGAAATCTTTAAAGTTTAGCAGTACTACCTCTTCACAAAATGTTTGAACTCGGCTCTATGGATAGCGCTTCGGAACGCGCGTCGTGCAACGCGCACATTTGCACACAGTGCCGGTGGTCATGCGTCTTTGGTTGCTACGGATTATAGGCCTACTAGTACTTTGGTTGGTAGTTTTTAGCGACTGGCTCTCGGTCAATCAAGATACAGAACACTTGGGTGAAATTTTGTGATAAGAGCTGTGAGGATCGTTCTTCAATCAGATAAACTGTTGACAAGGGAACTAGCCACATGTTAGGTCAGTTAGGACTATACTTCAAAGCCAAAGTTAGGTTTTTTGGGTAGGCCTATAGTTGCTTTGAGTGGCAACAGGAACCCAAGGGCTATATTTTTCATGGGGGGAACAGAAAAGTTACCTCTTCATTCTAAACAAGTCTGAAATTTAGTGGAATCGACATGTGAGCTATTTTCCTGGTGATCCTACCAGACCAAAAGGGCAATATGATAACTGACAATTGGAAACAATGTGTTTTCTTGTTGTGAGAAAAAAAGACAGGCTTGGGGAGAGTGGCTAATGTTTCTAGTTTTGTGGCTTTGGTCGTGATGCCCAGAAGCACGGCTTCTAAAAGGTGGTTTCAACGAAAGTGTTGCCAAAGCGGGAAATTTACAGCTGTCAATAGGTGCTGGACGATTCAGTGATTATGAAAAGTGCTGATCCCACTCATATTGAATTTACCGGGGATTATATGGAATTCCATATCTGCCGTCGTGCGTCACCCGTCGTCCGTCGTGCGTCGTGCGTCGCCCGTCGTGCGTCGCTCGTCGTGCGTCGTGCGTCGCCCGTCGTGCGTCGTCCGTCGTGCGTCGCCCGTCGTCCGTCGCCCGTCGTGCGTCGTCTGTCACCCGCCGTCCGTCCTGCGTCGCCCGTGGTTTTTTTTTTG